AAAAGGATTAGATCCCATCCAGCATGCAAAAGGCAAACAGACAACTCTTTTCCCTGCTGCCTTGTTGTGCAACTGCTTCAGTGTGACATAACATACATAGTACCACTAGAGTAACCATGACCAGATACATAAAACGGTTCTGCTGCCTGTCCCAAAACTCACACTTCAGGTGTTTCAGCCATATTACTCTTCAGCATGTTTGACAGAAAGGTGCCAAATTACTACCTTCCCTCTCACAGGGGAGGGGGAAAGGCTGCAAGGCAGAGGATCTGCAAGACAGTCAGGAACTGAACCCAACTTAGATATCATTCCCAAAACACAGAAGTCACCATTCACCTATTTCCAAGATGAACCCACCATCAGGGATAACATTCCCCCAGCTCCTCTCCACCACGAACACCTGATGTCTAGCTGTATGCATTTAGATATCCTCTTGCAGTGGCAGGCCTAACATTTTCACTCATTTATGTATCAAATCTTATACTTCAGTAGTATGATATCACGGGTCTGTAAACACAAAAGGAAATGGACTGAGAAAGGAAAGCAGAAGTAAAATACAGATAGCACATTGTTATTTGATAGCACAAAAGGTATTGTTGAACACACCTTGTGTGATTTTGCTATTACAATTCAAAACTTAGTTGAATACCTGTATTTCATTCACAATTCATACACTCCTCATGGATTTATGAGCTTCTATATACCAGTCAAACCAGATGCTCTGAGAGTAGGCAATGGCCCACTGTATTGCAGATCCATATAGTTTTATTGTGGGGGAACTACATACAGACCATGCTCTTAATGAGACACTGAACCCATTTTCCACCTGGTTGCCTGATCCAGCTTTTCTCCTCACAAATCAAAAAAGTGCACTAACTCAAAAAAAAAAAAAAGAAAAATTGTAAAACCCAGCCGTCCTGTAGGTTCCAATGCTTCTCGTGTCTTATTCCAGACACTTTTTTTTTTTTTTTTGATATCTAGAAGATTTAAAGCTACTGCCTTTTTGAAAAGCTCAGTAGTACTGCCTTCCATCAAGGGAGTGTCAGGAACTTAGTAACATAGAAGAAAAAATCCTCTGTATCTCCAAAAAATGTTGACTTAGGAAGCAGTCCTCTGAGGTATAGAAACAAGCAAGCATTACAACTATCTACAGACAAAACACCAAAATATCAACTTAAAAGATTTTGTAAAGTCTCAAAGAGTCTTGCTTTAGCATTGTTTGCCTGAGTTTGTACACTGGAATGCTCAGCATCACTTGCTTACCTCAGACCATTTGTTTTCACCAACTGCTCTGTGTCTTGCTTGTGTTCAAAAGGCATTTTGTGGGAACAAACTCAAGCTCATACACCATCTTCCACACATTTTCTCTTGTTCACATGTCCTATTTCCAGCCACACTTCATCTGGTTAGCAGCAGAGCACAGGCCTACTTTTATGGTGGATACCAAACACGTTGTGAAGCACTCAGGACTGTCAAACTGCTGGGACATCTTTGGTACACCCAGGGCATGCCAGTTCCTAGCATTCAGCATGTTTGGATAAGACAAGGTTTGAGTAAGGCACCGTCACCCTAAACTTTGTTACTTCCCCCAGTAAACCAGTGGGCTCCTCTGACCTTGTGCCAACATGTAGACACACAGAAAACCTAAAATTTGGGCACTGAGCCCAGTTCAAACCCTTGGAGAATATGCCCCCTAAAGCCATACACACCACAACCAGTATTTTAACACAGATTTCAGGAAGTTCACCTTCCGTCACCTCTGGCTTGCTTGCCCACTCCCCAGTGGCTGTGGATTCATAGTTTCCCATGAACTTCCTCCCCCATTGTACTTGCATTTCACAAGAAAACAAATCTTCAGACACCTCCCCATCCTTCTTTACCCTCGCCATACTTGCTGCCTGCTCTGAATTCCTTTTCCATGATGCGATTTCCACTCTGTGCACTCCACCCTCGTGCCTGTACTTGATTGTTGTGATAGTCCACCAATGACAAGGTTTTTGCCCTCCATTCTCCTGTTGTTTTCGGCTGGCAGGCTCTTCTTCACACTGCCGCCTGTTCATGAGAGGTACTCAGTGATGCAGAGGATGACAGTAAATTACCAAAAAGTAGAAACATCAAAGTATCATGTCTTTAGTGTTTTAAACATGTTTTTCCATATTTGCAACAATTTGTTTCAGAGTAAAAAAAAGTACTTGTTTTGTTTTTCCCCAGGGTGAAAAGTAACCAAGCTTTCAGAATTAAAATGGGAAGAAAGTATGTTATTGGAAATGTGAAAAAAACCCCCTGTATATCGTGAATAAATTCCCCCATTGGAACAAGGTGCTCAGTATAGATTCCCATTTCAACATATGTCCTTGTTATTTAGCACATTAAAAGCGATTTGGTTTTCTGATGTAACAATACTTGCATTTTTATAAAGGCAGTATGGGCTCTGTGACACCCAGACACCTACCTTGTGCTATTTGTTCTATGGACAGGTGAGATGAGGGGCTACAGCAAGATCCTACATCACTCCCTCTCTAACCCCCCTCCCTAGCCCTCTGCTGTGTATTTGATATGACTCCTTTATTACAGTAACTAAGTACAGGACATATTCATTAGTATCAGTAGCCTGTTATTTCTCAGACTGCCCAACAGACAACTATGTCATTTCAGCTGTGTACATATTCTACTTAGAGCAAAACAGGCACGTTTTGGTTTGTGTAACAGTTGGTTTTTTTTATTTCAGTTACTTTTTCACATAAAACTATGTAAGCTACAAAAATAGTGAAATGCAGAATTGGTACTGAAACCACAAACTTAAAAGTTTTGATAAAAAAAAAAGTCCCTGCTAACAATGACCCTTTAAAACGAACCATATTTTGATGGATTAATTTAATAAACATACCATACACTTCTCAAAAATAAATAACAACATCAGAAAAACCCATACCATCAACAACACGAAGTGTTTAGTTATCTTTTTTTTTTTCCTTTAAAGACAGAAATGGAATTTCTAGGCACAGTTTTTAGGCATTTTAGAGGACACAGAGGCAATAGGTTAGTGTGCACTGCGCTGTACAAAAATACAGTCTGAATAAATTACATTGCTAGCCATAAGATTAGACTTCACTTACCAGTCAGTTCATTGCTTAATAATATACAGTTACATGCTAATCCATATATATATCATTTATATTTCAAACACATAGGTCTCTCTATATTAGTTTTTAAAATTTACAAAAGCTAAATGAAGTTGTGCAAGAAATCCAGAAGAGGTGCTAGGTACTTATCAGCACCGGATGGTATACTTCAAGCTTAAAAAATACAAATAACTAGCCCTGCTTGCAAGTTTGCTATATATATTTATTCATATTTATTTGGAAGAAAAACAATGGATTTGTTGTGAGAGAGTCATCCTGCCAATGAGATAAAGCCAAAAAACCTGAAATAATGGTGTCATGACACAAGCACAACATACAAAATGAATAATTTGTCATACATACAGTCCAGACACAGATATATATCTTTTTTGTGGCTAGGGGAAAAAAAAAAATAAATTTAGCATAATGTTTATTTTAGTTCAGTGCTGAGAAACGGAACAATTGCCAAAATTGGCAATGGTAAGGAGAGGGGAGGAATGAAACAGCAGTATGAACTTAAGTTAAAGGTAGGTACCTAAACCCATATATTAGATGCCCAAACACAAACAACCTGAGGAGCTTGAGAGGGGGGTCCTAATAGACCGCATTATCTTCAAGAGAAAAAGCAAGTGTTGAGACTGAAAATCAGCTCTCTGACTCAAATATGAATGAAGAACCTTTTCTTCAGGCATTCATGATTGTAAATCTTTTGCCTGAATACCTTTCATATTAACAGCCACATGCCTTTCAGACTGCATGTCATTAAGTTGCATATGCCTTAGGCTTGCCAGTTGTTTTCACTCAAGCTCTACATAAAGAAAAATGATTTGATAAATTAGTGGGATACAATATGGAGTCAGCACTGTACCTTCTTGTTAGATCAGGTGAAGTGCCACCCAATGTCAGCACAAAAGCACCAATCCTCCTATAAAGATACAGACATCTCTCAGCAACTTTCTCTATGCTAACCTAAAACCCATGTCAAGCTACAACATTCTCCATGCTGCTAAATAAAAGTAGAATTACACAGCTGTTCAGAAAGACACAGGCTTAACTATATACTGAATATCTATCTTAAAGTCAGCCTCAGGAAAAAAAGCAAAGTTGACTGGGGCCTGTGAAACAAGTGGACCTGATTGTTGCCCCCATCCTTTTTTGTTCTCCAAGCATTGCCATACAATCCCTTCCAAGTCAAGCTGTCATTTTGCTCTGCTCACCACTGGTCCTGGGAAGACTGCTGATATGGAATACTCTGCCATGGTAATAAATATTTAACAGAGAGACCCAGAGTTTTATAAACCATCTTTGTACATCAGCAATACTTTCACAACAACCTCCTAAAGGCAGCCCTGTGCTCCCACAGTCATTGCAGAACCTCTATGCCCTGCGGAGAGTGGAACAAGCTAGATGTGGTCTTAACATTGAGTAATTCAGCAGTCTTTTCTGTGGAACCAGCAAAATCATTTGTGTAGAGGTCAATGTGCAACCCCAGCATACCTGCTTTTGCAGAGGTCCACACAGAATATATTTCAAATTTCTCCATTAAAAAAAAATATAGGTATTTCTAGAGATTAGAATTGTATAAAAATATGTTCATAATTAATAAAAATATCTAAATAAAAATAAAAGTGATGCAGACTAAATTCATGTGAAAGTTCTCTATCTTGGGTTTCATTTCATGTACAGCCTCTGGATGTTTTAACTGGGAAACATACTAAGCAAGGAGTAATCAGATTTACATGGTCATCAGCCATTATAAACTCAGCTTTTAAAAACAAGAGATTACCTCCTGAAGTGCTAATGTTTTAACATGGACAGGACAGGGTCTCAGCTGTATTCTTGATGATCAGAGACACTCACAACCTAACTAGATTTAAAAAAAAATGGCAGTTCTTTTCCTTGGAACAGTTTTAGAAAAGAATTTTTAGTAAGTACTAGATGACACATGGAATAGCAAGTAGTTCCTTTGTCCAATTCTACCTTAACATGATGTGAACTTTGTGTTAGCATTTCCCATAACACAGAGTCTCTACAAGGGCATATACAGAAGACAAACCATTGTATGTTTATTTTGTAACACCAACCAAAATTGAGGGTACCAATCCAAGACTTTCAAGAATGTGCACAAAGTTAGTATTTTAACCATTGCATCACAGCTCATACTACAACTTTAATCATCTCTTTCCCTCTGCATTTATATTTGTATTATATATATTTATACTAATGAATATCTTTCAAAAATATAATTGAACTCGTTCCATACGCATTCTTTTCATGACAGCATTTGGAAGTTAAACAGGTACTTAGGACAACTACAACTCACTCATACATTTTAGATGCCTCAGGGACAGATGAGGTCTTTTTCTACTCCCCCCCTTTCTCCACCTTTCCAGCAAAATACTCAGAGCTGAGACAACTTCTGACTACACAGTCAGGAGCACGTCTCCAGGTTTGGACTCCCTTCAACAATCTGCTACAGCTGGCATAGTGATCTCAATTACCAATTCATGAAATCCTGTGAGGTTGGTGGCCTGTTTGTTTTGGGGTTCTTTTTTTTATTCTGCTCCCAGAAGACTGCTGAATGCAGATATTAGACACGTCATTAACCAGTTACATTCACCGCCCTCAACACAGTCACTTGCAACTAATTCCTTAAGAGCTTTGTTGAGCATGTAACAAGGGGCCAACACAGCCTATTGTACAAGATGCCATTGCCTGCTTATCAGACATCTGACTCCTCTATGATACAGGGAACCTTCTAAATGGAGCTTGTATCAGCTGCTCTCCTGAAGGCAATAGCAGATGCTGGCATTGCATTCTCGTTCCAACTAGTTTTTCCACAATGATCGCTGTCACGTAGATCCTTTTGCTTGTTGTCAGAAAAATGAAGCTTATGTATCAGCAGCTTGCAGCATCTGCCTATGTAAGATCGGCAATCCTAGGATCTGCAGTTCTTTTAAATGGTTGTAAAAGCTGGTTACAATGTTCACACCCAAAAGGCAAAGGCTATTTTATCAACAGAGCAGACTGTTTGGTGCTCCACAAGTGTTTTAAAAAAACTGTGAGTTAGAAAATATGGGGTAATCCTTTTGTTATTTTTTTTTCATTAAATGATTCTAGTAATAGTCTTCATAGTTTTTAGGGTTCAGGCAATAAAGAATGGCACCCCCAAATGAAAATATAGTTGCACCCCAAGCCAGGCCATAGCCCCAGTTGAACTCATGGTATATTTTCAAGCTGACTGTTTCGATGAACTTGATTGGGTAAAGGACTAAGCTGCACACCTGAAGAACAACTGAAAGAGAAAAAAAAATAAATGTCAGAAGAAGCCTTCTTTCGTTTCCATAAAATAAGGAAAACATCACATAACTGAAACTCGTATTTTAAATGCTCTTGGTGCATGTTAAGCTCGTAAGCACTGCTCTGTTTGGGAAAAAAATATCACCTTCATTTCATTCACAAAGAACACAGCAGTTTCAACATTCCCTCTTTGATGAACACGTTATTGGTATGGTGTTAACGATGACCTGTCAGGTATCCACAAAATAAACAGTGAAATCAATCTTTCCCCAATTCTTTTCTGTCTCTTCTTAGTGTTTTAGCTTGCAGTCATTATTCCTTCCATAACAGAACTAAGATCATTTGTTCTATAGCTATAAGTAAGTCAAAATGAGAATCAAGAATAAACGACTATTGAGAAATATAGCTCAGAATGAAATAATTTACTTAGCCTAGAAATAATTGATTGTAGCAGGCAATACATATTATACATATTTATGCTCAGTAGACTTACTGAATTACATATTTCATATGCATTACTGTGTACTGTAATCAGAATTAATGCTATTGTTAGAACACCAAGGAATCTAAAAAGTTTGATTAGTCAGGAGACTTCCTACTGGCAAAACATTTCCTTGTATAGCGAACTTGGAAGTGCTTCTTCTTAGAAGTGCTTTGTGAGGAAAAAAAAAAAGAAAAAAGCTAATAAAACAGATCAAATGCAAAGCAGTAAAAAGCTTAAAAATAATTATTTCTACAGCACTGTCTCTGAGAGTGCCAGATCTCACGCAGCCTGATCCACACATCTGCACTGGAATTCAGGAAACCTGTTAAATGCTCTGCTACCAAAAAAAACCCAAGAAACAACTCACAAACAAACAAAAAACCCCCAACCAACACTCAAACCCACCCCCATGCAGTTATCTGCAAAGGAAAATACACAGATGAATCCCCCAAATTTTCACAAGGTTTCAGTTTCATCAGCACACATTCCCTTTCAAAATCAGGCACACTCAACAGAAAATTGGGACAACAGTTTCTATGGTAAGCAGGGGAAAATTATACTTGGAGACAAGAACAAGTCACATGATATAGCAATTCCCCAGGCCCCTAATTCTGCTTCCCACAAGACTAAACATCACAGGAACATACAAAACATCCTTTTCACCCCTCAAATACACAATATGGCCTTATGACAATGCTTCCCTCCAACATGTAACACTAGCAATTTTTCAAGACTCCAGCCCGTGACTTCGTCTTCCAAACTATTCCGGCCCACCGATTACAAGCAGGCTGGGCACATCCACGCAGTTAAGCACGTGCATAAGCATTTGCAAGCCTGAGAGAGATACACTCTGATGAAAGTTCAATGGTATACAGTGTAACGCCATAATAGCTACCTTTTTTTAAAAAACATTGGCAAGGTCATTCTGTACACTTAATTAGGCATTGTAAGAAGAACAAACACTGTTTAGAGAATTGTTTCAAAGCCAGTGCCAACACAAAAGGCCAGCGGGTAACAGAGAGGAAGACTACTCTGGACTACAGAAGTCCTTCTGAAATCACACTGAGAAAATACAGGAAAACGAAGTAACGTTAATTTTATTCTCCTCCTGCTTGAATATTACACACACTCAAAATCTGTCATTGCCATTTAGTTCCCACACGTACACTTTAGTGTTGTCAGACTGGCACCTTTCATTAGCCCTGAAGACTAATGCTTACCTATCCTCTGGACAGGACTGGTATAGGGAGATGATTTCCAACGTTCATTACACCTTTTGCCATAACACTATAAAACATTCATTGGGAACTCCCCCCTGCCCTTAGCCTACAGCCTAGTCTTGGGTCTCTTACCTGAGACTGACAATCTGAATAATGGTAATGGAATTTTTGATGTGGATACAAACATCCACAGGATTTTTTTAATCCTGAAGTTATTGAAGTGTGATTCTGTGTTATTCCATTTCAATATATTTTTTTTTATCCCAGCTTACAATACACTGTGCAACACTGGAAAGATTTTGACAGGTTATAACTAGAGGAAGCACCCACTCACATGAAAAGATTATGTATTCCATTTTTGCATAAAGAGATCATTATACTTCAAACCACCCGAACATATGTTCAGCTTTCAGACACATCTTTAGGACCATTCAAAGTCAAAAAGGATATCCTAAGATGAATAGAAACCAACAGGTTTTTCAGTGGCTTCCTTAACATGTAGCATCTCTGCTGAGTAAATACAGAAACTGCTCTCTGTGTGTGTGTCTGTGTCAAGGGAGAACCAAGGAAGCTCTCCACCTTCCCTCAATCTAAAATATGAAGTATGCTTAATTTTAATCTACAGATTGGACTTGTGGCAACAAAAAACAAAAAAGTGATTATTTTGTAATAGAAAAGTTGCCAAAGCAGCAACACCCACGACAGGTATTTTAGACATTTTTATAGTGAGGGTTCTTGCTTTTGTGCTACTGCCCAGCTACACTATTGTAAAACTCGAAGTGCTGGCAGCAACTGGCCAGTGGAGACAACCATGCTGCATAACACTTTTATCGCTCTGCACTATTTTTGCCTCCTGTCACAGTTTCTCCCTTTAGAATGAGTGGGAAGAAAACTGCGTAGGCTAGAAACAAGTTAGTGAAGTTATGAAAAATGACCAGTATGGCCCCAAAAGACGTTACAAACAATGCTCGTAACTACTGATCTGTTTCTGATGAACTTAAAGACACTCTACGTTATGTTGACCTGCTTATGGGAAGTGTGCCAAATACGTTTCTTCAGAAGCACTAGTCTTTTCACATAGAAAAAAGGCTGAAATCTTAAAAAAAATCCACTTCAAAATGCTATTCGAAAAACACCAGTCATCTCAAACCAGACTATTTCCTTCAAGCTTATACCAATTTTCATGACTAGCACTATGATGATTACAAGACAATCGCACAGGAACAGAAATACTAGTTTCATTCCATTTGCACTAAATGCATGTAATTATATATACTTACCATATTAAACACCCAGAAATCATAACAAATGCTTTAAAACTAGCAAAATTTAATTTCAGTCATCTTGGGTTTTTTTCTTCAAATGTTTGACTAAAACAGTTTTGCTGCCAAAAAGAAACTTATGCTGTGCCCTTTCTAACTGGTCTATATTTGTGAAAATGGTGGTGCTCCTAATAAGTTCTGCCAAGTATTTCTGCTCCCTATACAATCCCTCCTGTTCATTCACATGGGTAAAGCACTTCATTAATAACCAATGAGTGTTGCAGTTTCAAAGATAAACACACATGCAACTGCTCTCTAAGAAGTTGTTTGTATTTAATACAACCTGTGCAATTAATTGGGAAACAGCATGAAGAGAAAGGGGGTCTGTGTTGACTTTTAAAATACTGCTAGCTCAAGCACAGGCCACTCCACTACACAGATGACCAGGCATTTCAGCAGGAGGCAACAAAAAGCTTCTCAATGAATGTGTACATACACACAAGCAGAAAACAAGGATAGACGATGACAGGAGTATAAAAATACTGTTTTGATACTTAGATACAAACTCAGGAAGGCTGAAGCCCATCTGGAGCTCACATTAAGCTAGGAAATGGCAAAAAGGGTAATAAGGAAGAATTTCCACAGGTGCATTAGTTACAAAATGAAGTTCAGCAAACATATTCATACAATGATAGACAGGAAAGCCAGTCTAGCAACAGATAATGCATTGCGACGCCTTCTCCAAGACCTCTAAGTGAAAGTGACAAGGTTTGGGAAGGTGTCAGCAGATCAGCAGTGAAATAACTACATAGGAGTAGCATCCGTATCGATGGGAACAGATGGGATCAACCCAAGCATGATGAAAGAGTTGGCTAACGTCATCATGAGCCCTCTATCATCTGTGAAAAATCACAGTGATCAGGAAATATGCAGATGACTGGGAAAAGGTTAATGTTGAGACCATCTTTGCAAAGGCTAGAAGTGAAAAATTCATAGAATTATAAGATGGTTAGCCTCAACTCAATCCCTGGAGTCATTATGGTGTACATCATCTTGGAGTCTACCTCCAAGCAGATGCAGAACAAAGTGGCCATCACAAGTGAACATGGCTTCACCAACCAAAGGACAATGGTCCAGAGGGTTGCCAAGATAATCAGAATCCTGCAGCACACTATTCTTGTGAAGATGATGAGAGAGCTAGGTTTATTTAGACTCATGAAGTGGCAGCTAAGGAGTAATTTCAAACCAGCCTACAGTTATCTGAAAATGTAGCTGCAACAATGATAGGAAAAAACTCAATCAAACAACACTCTTTGTAGTGACCAAAGACAATGGCACCTGAAATAATGGCAACCCAAGATAATGGCAACGGACACAAATCTGAGTTTCAGACATTCAGGATGGACATTAAGAAACACATCATAAGGTGGGTAACATGGCAGTACGACAACATGCTTGGAGAAATTGTGGAATCTTCATCCTTGGAGCTCTTCCAGACTGGTCCTGACAAAGCTGCAGCTGATTGACCCAGTGTTAGTGACTGTCCTGTCTCAACAAGAGGGCTGGCCCTCATGACCTACAAATTCTCCTTCTTGTCAATATTTCTTTGATGCTATGACACTTTTTGCCACCCTGTAACAACTTGTACTACAGTCTGACTTTTTTCAGACCATTCCATCAATTTTTCAGAATCAAATTCTGTCCCCTATCTGCTTTTTTTTTCTACTTACATTGTAAAATTTGACAAGTAGACTTTTATTCTATCTTCCACATCACTATCAAAACAGAACTCTGGAAGCAATCCAGCCAGACTGCTCTAACTCTCTGTCAGAAGAAAAAGATACATCCTCTAAACATTCTCCAAATATTAATTGTTGTCATTTTTTAACTCTCTCACCTACAATACTTTCACTTAGCCACTGCTTCCCTAGCTTACATGCAAAAACATCCTGTGAAATGTCTCAAAAGCTTACTAACTTCAACAGGTTATTCTTATAAACATTGTTAAAACTCTTAAAATATAGACCCAAAAGGCAAACAACAAAAAAATCTTTTCAATACCTTTTTTTGTTTGCTTTTATGGACTTTTTGTTTGCTTTTATGGACTTTCAACAACTAAACTTTCCCTGTAAATTAAGACTTGGTTGGCACTCTGTTATTTGATAACTGTATCATGAGGCTCGTCACTGGCAAGTTTATGAACTTGTACTTCGCAGATGCAGCTTTCAGGGCCAGTTTGGTTCATAACCACCAAGATACTTCAGCAAGTACATAAGCTAGTGACCTCTACCAGATCAAAAAAGCTGGGAAGAGCTGTATCAGGTGGCTCCACTCAAGAGTGTCCCGCAACTGCCTCGGTATGCTCCGTATTTTTTCATTAGCTGAGTTATTCCTGTTCCTCTCTCCATTACACAGAGCTGACAGTGTGTATTTTAAACACATTCATGTCTGTTGATCTCTTGCTAGCTTATTCTCAGTACCTAGGTTGAATTTCTTTTTTGTCCCTTTGCTTTCTCATCTCTTTTACTCCAGTCAATCTTTTTCCTCACCTACAGAGTCGCTAACTGAAACCTGAAGCTGAGACGAAAAAAGAAAAAAGTTAAAAGAATCAAAGCTAGAAGAAAAAATGCCTGGAGCCAACTGTTTGCATTCTGAAGTGCCTAGAAAATACTTTTACATTTTGTCCCTTCTCCCACACAGTGATGTTTTCTACCTGACATCCAGAAAGACCATTAAATGTCTCTGGGCAATTCATCCCATGTCCTTCTTCCAGAGGCAGCTGGCAGACTCCTAACCAGATTCATACAGAACACTTGGTCTTGTAAGCAGACCCACAGGTCAGGACAGGGTATATCCTCAAAGATCTTCTGTGAAATCCAGATGAAGGTTTGAATCCATGGAGAGTTGCATAAGGCACAAAGTCTACTGTGCTGCAATCTTAACCCTCCTCTCTTCAGTAGGGGACTATCTTCATGATTCTTTGAAGATATATCAGTCCATATTCACATCTAAATATAGCTGACATCAAAGATAAAATCTGTAGGAAATGACAGCAACAATTTCAGCGTCAAATCCCAAAAGGATTCTCCTCACATCTGCCAGATAACAAAGTAGAATGGAACGGTCTGTCTTGGCCTCATCATTTCTCTTCTTATATGCTTCAGGTCATAGCTATTTAAAATATGTATGCACACAACACATGCACACAGGCAAAGGAAAGAGGTGAACACCACTCATAAGCTAAAGCAGCAATGAATTTTCCTTTATGATGCAAGTAAGCATTAATCCCCTCTACCCCCAACCTTTTGTAGTAAAGACTAGAACTAATTTTGTGTAGAGGAGAAGAGATTAATCTTTAACATAAACAGTGGGATCTGGGGAATTTTTTATTTAGGGAAAGTTTTATCTTTTTTTTTTCTTTTTTTTAGTACAAACTTAACCATATACTAAATGAGCAACATGGCAAGAGAGGCAGTGTATAGCTGAATAATTGCTAAATTATTATACAGTGTTATGAGAAATTAATTCAAAAGCCAAACAAAAAACCACTAGAGAAATTCAACAGTCCCACTCCCTTCAAAGTTAACTGGCCAACATGCTTTGTAATCTCAGAATTAATACTAAATTTTAAAATAATGGCACTAGTTCCTTTATTCCTTCCACCAAGCAAGAAAAGTGACACATAAAACAAAAAGATACTATTTCCACTCAGGAAATCTGATCCTAGGTTGCATTCTTTTACTAAAAGCAAATGAAATATAACTTATCAATATCTCTAGAGCAAATAAAAGCGCATGTTGAAGCACTGTGGCTCAATCAAGGTAATGTTATCAGCAGGGGGCAGCAGGAGCCTTCCTCGAAGCTTCGTTTCATTCCTGAATACCCTTCAAAATCTGCTCTCTTATCTTTCCGTATTTTTGCAAGTGGCTTTTTATAATACATCCCAAAGACTAGGTTCTGTCATCTTCTTCATTATGGGCTAACAGAATGGGCTTAAGCTCCTGGCTCCAATGCAGATATGAGTGACAGGATGAAGGCAAATTATGCTTGGAGAATCTCGGGAGAAAGAAACATCCATGCTGACCAAGCCCCAAAACACCAGCATGTATAAAAGGAGATGATTTGATATTGTAATTACACCTCACTGAAACAGTCTTACAGACAGTTCAGATTTATAGGTCTCCCTTAAGAATTTGTGATAGTTTATATAAACTGTTCCATTTTCATGTTTTTTAAAATGAATCAGGGACTACACTATGACAGCTTGTTAAATTAATAACTAAGTAAGCAAGCTGACACATTGAAATTAATTCCTTGTTGCACAGGGGCATATATAAACACCTTGCAACATAATCCTATTTATTTTCACACATAGGGCTTCAAGAGCTCACATCTGGGAATTAATTTTCCCATTTTAAAATTATAAAAGGAAGAACATTAAAATAATAGAAATGGTTTTGTGTGAAGAATAAAAATGGGGCCACCAAGAAACGCAAAGTCACAGATTAAAAATGGTACTTTGAGATTTATCCTTTACACCCCCTGCTGCACATGCTTCACAAAGTAATAAATATAACACAAATAAATAATTTCTTATGAACTAATAATAGTGCAACTGCAAAAATGATTAATGCTGTGCAGAACTGGTATCCTGAAAAACCTCACTGGAGTTAACAAAAATAAACCAAATGCCTCTGAATTTGTATGCAGAACAAGGCCATGTCTTCCTTCATCAAAGTGAAGCTGCTCTCATCACGTTGCCGGTAATCTGCTTACCTGCAGCAAAGAGCATGACTGCAACTGGTCTGTAGAACCGCCTCCGAGATCCCACGCAGATAGAGATCAACCCAACCAGGAAAGCTATGAGAATAATGGAAGCACCACCCAGCAACAAAGCAAGAGTAGCTATCTGCCAGTCTAGGGGGAAAAAAACAGAGAGAGGAAAACAATAATAATGCAGTTTCAGTAAAACAAGTCCATAGGTCAGACAGAAACAGCAGAATATGAGGAACACAAAAGGCTGCATCAAGGCTCAAGTAAACAAACAACTGTGCTTCAGATTTCTTTTCTCCTAATTAGTGAAACACCTTTATACAATAGATGCAACTCAGGAGCAGAATGCTGCAACCTCCCACACTTTTTCTAAGGCTTTTGTCCAATTTAGAATGAGAAATTCAGGCCGGATCACAATTAGCTAGCCCCCAGTCTGCAGTAACCTTCTCACATAAGACAGTGAAAGTCAAACCTCTACTTGAGCTTATTAGGATGACATAGGAAGGCTCATCATGCACACTTGGCACTTGGGAAGCCACATAATATGACTAACAAGACTAAGGTGTAGGAAGAAGATGTTAAAGGAATAAAAAAACCCTCCATACAAAAAAAAAGGGGATGGGGGGAGGGGTTAACAAACATTAGATGTAGTGAGTTAAATCTGAAGTCCATTTTAAAACATCAGTTACCCTTAAGTGTCAGTTTTTCTTTTCTTTCACCAAAATCAGCTACCGGACTTGGCCCAGTGTATTTTCTAATTATTTTGATACATAATGAATGCAGTTATAAACAACATCCTTGCAGTCTTACATCACATAAATGAAAAATCCATTTGCAAGCTGATGATCTAATTCAAGAACTTCTGTAGGATTTTAGAAAGGCATGGGCTTTGTGCTGCCTCTCTCTGCTGAAGGCTAAGATCTTTTCTCCCTCCAATAACAGTCATCAAGAAAAACAATCAGATCACTCCCATTTATTAGTACAAGGAAGATGATCTAAAGTCTGCTTTTGGGAAAAGGACCTATGGATACAATGCATCTCTCATTACTTTGAACATACTAGCACTCACACAATATTCAGAATCAAATGTCCAACGCATGACACAGTTCCAAGAAGAGATTAATTACTTCCAAAATAAATTTAGAGATATTGAGGTTATTAAAAGAATGATAAAAATCCACATCCTCTTTCGGAACAGAGCAAAAGTCAGTGTTTTAAAAACAGTACATCCAGTTTCAAGCAGGGTCTAATCTGCTGAAGATACCAACAGTGCAGCTGTCAGGCTTGGGAATGGAAGGCTGGCAGTTATTATCACCAAAGAGCCTTCATATATTATATGAAAAAGGATGAAGGAGATTAAAGAAGAAAGTGAACAGAAAAGCTATAAAAGCATTGCTCAAAAAAAAAAAAAAAAGTTATTTTAAAGGTGGCTTTGTGCAGGTACACATTTATTTTCATTCTTTTTAGACATCCAGACATTGTTTACTAATAGTTATAAAAGTACTCAACCATCCAAGCTATTTTACTCCCAAAATCCAAGGCTGGGAACAATCTCTTGTTCTTCTACCATCAGCAATGTAACCTCTAACATCAGTCTGCTGTGTCCCCTAACTGCTTTAACTATTATTGAGATAAAAATGTGATTTTAGTTATGGACAGGAGGGTTATGAAAAGTGGTTTTTAATGCTGACATGATCCTTCAGAAACAACAAGTGGTTAGTGCACTGATGACTTAGAAAGTATTCTTGCAATATCTGAGTGCATTACAGATATAAAATGCAGAAATAAATGAACAGAATGGACTGCTATGGAACAGTACAAAAGGCATCCTTGAACTAGCAAATTACACAGATACAAAGACTAGACTCATAAATCCATATTGCCTCAAAAGTTAAAAGCCGTACCAAATTGATGAATTAAAATGCTAGGCAGGAAAACTCAGAAACTAAGATTTTTGGAAGCGGAAGCCATTATAAATAACGAAATATTAAATGTTATCTTCACATTGATCAGACGCCAAAGTCTAATACAAACAGAAGGTGTGCAACACTGGAATAGCAGCTAAAAGGAAAAAAGCTGAGCATCCTACCACCTTCCAAAACCACACTGGCAAGACCACCAAAAAATGAAAATAACTAAGGTAAAAATGATATAAGCATGAGGTTAGAATATAGTTTTGCTTTCAGGACACACATCTATGGATTTTGGAAAAGTTAAAAAATAAACAAACTACTTCACTATAGTACTGATGTGGGAGGGAAAAGGACAAATGACTGTTGGGAGACACCTACACTCCGAACTAAAAAAGAACCGACTTAAACAAAATTTATTTCTTGAGTAAGAGAACCTACTCAGTGATGTTGACAGTAGGACAAAACCAAGGCTCCTAATGTTCCTCACTACTAGCTGAGGATCAGGTACTGAATGCTGTGTTCTGAGCTGCAGTGTCTGGAACTGCCTCTCTGTTTTGGCTCCAGCCTCCATTTGCAGGAGCATACAATACTACCAGCCTCTGCCTTGCGCTGCAGCCAAGAGGAATTCTGGTTAAGGAATATCACGAAGGTAAGATGCTAGTGCACAAAGCATACTGGACTGAATTTTCCCTTATTGCCTACCATGGAAACTATATGTATAAGTCTCCTTGTCATCTTAGAAAAACCTTAACTTCCAGTTCTGAAAGTCATTTGATCTGGTGACAAAATAAAGCTTATGTTGGACTAAGGAAGCAGTATCTTCTGCATGAGCCTTCTACTTTTACAGCAATTACTTTTTGAGGAAAAACTCCAGGCCACTAGACTTTATATGAAAGAAAGGAAACATCAAAAGACAACTGTATCAACAACCCTGAAAAGAAAAACACTGTAAGTTAGATACCTACCTAGCAGCCTTCCAGTATCTGAAGAGGGGGTATAGGGAAGCTGGAGAGGGACTATTCATTAGGGACCATAGTAACAGGACAAGAGGTAAAGGGTTAAAACTTAAACAGGGGAAGTTTAGATTGGATATAAGAAATTCTTTACTGTGAGGGTGGTGAGGCACTGGAATGGGTTGCCCAGGGAAGTTGTGAATTCTCCATCCCTGGTGGTGTTCAAGGCCAGGCTGGACAGAGCCTTGGGTGACATGGTTTAGTGTGAGGTGTCCCTGCCCATGGCAGGCGGGTTGGAACTTGATGATCTTAAGGCCCTTTCCAACCCTAACTATTCTATGATTCTAACAATATAACCACACAGAGGAAGTGCAGTTTTCTACAATAAAAATCTGTAATGTTCCTCAGACTACCCAGGAATGATTTATAACTCACAGCATCAAACCTGGTACAGTAGATTGCTCTGTTACATTATGTTACTGGTACACAGAACATAAACATCATAAACCTTTACAGTATCCAAAATATGCTTGCACCATTTCTAGGCATGCACCAATCTTGCAAATAAGATACTATACTCAGTTCAGGAGGCTCAGCAGTTTGGTGAGACTGCTTGTTCTCACAGAGATAGAAACATGCATAAGCATGAGCAAAACAGGACCTCACAGACAAGAATTATTAGTTTCTTGGATTCAAAACACAATTTGGGTACACTTTAGGGATGCATGTCAGTACTTTTCACTGTACATCACTACAGTTTATTTACATTACACATCCACTTAAAAAAAACGCTAAAAATTAACACTTCTGTGTAAGAACTCCCACAATACAAAGTTTTAGATTTTAAAAATCACTGTCATTTCAATCATGCGCAAATTAAGTTGCTATGTTGATTTATAGAGTAGAGTCAACAGAAAGCGCAACTTTTTTTCAGTGTTGTCATTTCAGCAATATGTTAAGAATTACACTGATGATGCCACCTATCCCATCCAAACAACTCAAATGAACGCATTTTTGACAATTGTTAAGCAACTTGAGATAGATTTCTTAAGAAAAGCCTCACTTATTGTATACTATTTCTAGGTCTGAGAATCCAAACATGTTTTTGTACCACACAAGAAGCATCACCATGTCTATAACCATGGGAAATACATACTGCTATTCTGACAGTGATGATAGTGTCATTGTGAAAAACTGCCTGTTAGTTTAGGGATGTGAATTCCAACATTTGGAAATGAGTATAAACATGAACCTAAGTACTTAACACATTTTCAAAACATATATGGTGTAAAATTTATTAGAATTACCATCTCTGGTTAAAAAAGGAGACCGACAAACTATGATGATATTGTTTCTTTTCAGTCAATTTCTCACAGATAAGTCAGTGCCTTTTTGTAAGGACAGCTTGGTCTAATTACTCTTTGGAAAGTCTGCCTGTTTCTTAATGATACGGAAGCACAGGGTTAATTGCACATTGAAATGTGTGACCCTCTTCCCTTCTTCCCCCCAGATGAAATGACCTAAGGCTTTAAGCTGTATATTCATTTTTAATTAAGACCAGCTCTATCTGCTCTGTTTCTCAGGCAAAATAATACTTCTGTACTAGGATAAAATCAGGAAAAGCCGTAACAGAAGGAGAAAACATCCCAAAGTTCTGAACTGTTTAATAACTATTTATTTTTTAACACAAGAAAGAGTAATGCAAAAGGCTAGCACTGTCACAGATTTCATGCTTTCAGTGAGTTCCCCCAAAATTACGTATTTCATATATGTGGTACTCTACAGTAAAAGAAATAATGGACATTAAAACATAGTGGGGAGTATGTGAAACATTTCTGTATAGGGCTCTTTCAGATAATGCAAGTGAACTGAATTAATCTCTTGGGAAACTATCAAGTATTCCTTTCTTTCATAAAATGATTCTCCACCAAGTCCTCTCCTCGTAGAGGCTGAAGTAAGAAAATGCAAGCAGCTGTCACATGACGAAGGCAATGACTGAGCTGCTTCTAGCACAAAACAAAACCTTGGTAAGAAACAAACCACAACACACTCTTAGTTAAGTTTTTCTGATTCATTGCAAAGCTTTCACTTATCATGTACCTGCCCTCAGCCAATAAATATTCTTAGAAATTATAGCATTTAAATTCAAGAATAATGAATTTGAAAGAACATGTCAAGTACAGCATAGAAAGTTGAGGCACCCACGCATAAGAAATTAAATATAACCCACTGAATGTCATAACAATCAACTAAGATAAATAAGATAGCTTGAGATACT